AACAAGAGCAAGAGAGGAGCCTTGTAACCTTGGAGACAGAAGAATCGGCTTTAGAGCAATCTAATTGGTAAGGAGTGCGGTAGAGAGCAGAGAAGGCGGGTGGGGTGCCCACGGGCAGCAGCACCAGAAGGATATTGAAATGGCCAGTTGGATCCCCCTGAGAAGAGTGGGGTCTAAACCAAAAGCGGGGATCTCTAGCCCACAGCACCAGAGCCCAAAAAGTGCATGGAAAACAGCCAGCTGCGAAAAGTGGCCGGGGTGCTCTCTGCCAGAGACAGGCAGCTGGAGACGCAAAGAACTGTTCAAAGGGCCAATGCATAAATTTTTATTTGCAGCCACTTGCCTTGGTCTCCGGCAAAATCAGGGGCAGGTGGGCTAGAGATGCCTGAGGAGAGACTAGGGAAGGAGTCTTTGGGGAGAGAACTGGGAGAGTAGTTGGCGAGATCTCGGTGCTGACTCGTCCCCCACGTGGCAGCAGCCATCTTACTCAGGAAGAGACCACTCCCCCTGAGTGGTACCAGCATCAAAGGACCCAATAGCCCCATCCCCAGGTGGGATTTCACCCCGCCCTGTGCTGTCTAAGCTGCCTGCTAAGTGCAGAGAGGCAGCCACAGACAGTAGATCCCTGGCTAAAGGGGGCGCAGAGAGGTCTGGAGACACTAGAGGAGAGACTGGGGATGGAGGCTTTGTGGTGAGAATGGACACAGTAGCCAGCGGGATCCCAGTGCTGACTCCTCACCCATATGCACCAGTGTAAGAGGACCCAGTCCTCTTACAGAGGAGACCAGTTGATTACCAGAAGTCTCGAACAGACTGCCTAAGGTCAGACTGGGTCAACGGCTGACATCATCAGAGGCAGATCCAGAAAGTAAAGAAAGAAACAGTGGTCTCCAACCATAGAAGTTCACACCACAAAGTCAGGAAATCAAGACAGATCAACTTAAGAAGCAGAAGCAAAAGAGAAGAGTCTCACAAATAATGGAAAGACAAAGAAATACGCCCCACTCGAAGGGAAAGGAGGAATCCCAACAAAGACAATTAAATGAAATAGAGGCAAGTAAACTATCAGGTATTGAGTTCCAAACAACAGTTCTATGGAAGCTCAATGAGCTCAGTGAGCTCAGAGAGAATTGCAAAAAAACTACAGGGAAGCTATGAGGAGCTTCCTGCAAACTATATCAGCATGAAAAAGGACATAGAAACTACCAATAAGCAACAAGAGGAAATGAAGAATACAATTTCTGAATTGAAGAACACAGTAGAAGGAATCAAAAGCAGGCAAGATGAAGCTGAGGGCTGAATCAACGAGCTGGAAGACAAGGTAGCAAAAAGTTCCCAGAAAGAGCAAGGCAATGAAAAAAGACTCAAAAAGAACGAAGAGGCATTTAGGGAAATGCAGGACAACCTGAAACGTAATAATATCCCTATAATAGGGATACCAGAAGGAGAAGAGGATGAGGAAGGGATACAGAACCTGTTTAAAAAAGTAATGATGGAAAACTTCCCTAATTGGAGAAGAGAAAAAGACACACAAGTCCATGCAGCATAGAGGGTTCCATTCAAGAGGAACCCAATGAGGCCCATCATCCAAGATACATCATCATTAAAATGGCAAATATCAAAGACAGAGAATCCTAAAGGCAGCAAAGGAGAAGGAGGTAGCAACATATAAGGGAGCCCCAATATGGCTAGCAGCTGACTTCTCAACAGAAACACTGCAAGCCAGAAGGGAATGGCAAGAAATATTCCAAGTATTGAAAAGCAAAGATCTGCAACCAAGACTGCTCTACTCAGCAAGGCTCTCAATTAAAATGGAAGGTAAAATAAGGAGTTTCCCAGACAAAAGAAGGCTGAAAGAATACACCTCTACCAAACCAGCACTGCAAAATATGCTAAAGGGACTGCTTTAAGATGAATAAAAGTTTCTATGAATACCCAGTTCCTTTCTGAGTTGTCAATACATGATATTACCAATATTTTTAATACTCATTAATCTGTGACAATGATGTTATTTTAATTGCTCCTTTACTATTTGTTGAAACAAAACCTGTTTTAGTATATTTCTTGCCTATTTATATTATTAAAAAAAGACCTTTAAATGACTTTTTGGTAGTCTTATCCATTTATTGATTAAAGGTTTATAGAACTTTTATCCAAAACAAAACAAAATGAAACAAAAAAACCTTATTAACCATGTTTTAAATGTGCTGCAAATACTTTTCTATTCTGTTCCTTGTCCTTTGACTTTTTTATATATATATTACTATATAGTTAAATGTTTAATATAGTCATATTTTTAATATTAACTTTATAGCTTCTGGGTTTGGATATTTTACTTCAGGTCATGAAAAATATTAGTTCTATTTTCTTCTAAAACTCCTTAGATTCTACATATTGATTTTTAACTCACCTGAATATTTCTTGTATAATGTGTGAAATAGGGTTCTATATTTGTTTTATTTCAAGTGATAGTGGTCCATGCACCTTATTTGTTGAATAAGCCTTATTTTACCTATTGATTTGAAATAGCAACTTAATCATATATTGTTAGACAGATATATACGTTTGTCTCTAGAATACTCGTTATATTTCATTGATCTGCTTGATCATTTCTGTGCTGGTGTCATGTTGGTTTAATTGCTGAGACTTTATAATTGTTTTAAATTTTTTTAATAGTTTATAATTAACTTTGACATTTAAAAAAATAAATAAAATCAATCTGCACTTAAGAAAGAAAGAGAGAGAGAGAGAGAGATGGAACTCCTACCTTTTGTGACAACCTGGATGGAACTGGAGAATATTAAGCTAAATGAAATAAGCCAGTTGATGAAAGACAATTACCATATGATCTCACTTATAAGTGGACTGTATTCAACAAAATAAACTAATGAACAAAATAAGCCACAGGCATGGAAACATAGAGCAGACTGAAAGTGACCAGAGGGTATAGGGAGAGAGAACAATGGTGGAAAGAAGGGGAAGGGACTAGACAAAGAACATGTGTGAATGACCCATGGATGTGGACAACAGAGTGGGAATTGACTGTGGGAGCTGGGGGTGAGGGTGGGATGGGTGGAGGGGGTAAAGGGGAAAAAATTGAGACAACTGTAATAGGATAAACATGATTTATAAATTTAAAAATAAATAAATAAATAGAAAAAAATTAGAGGACTATAAACCAACTGAGTAAATGTAAATGGACCAGAATTATTTTCTAAAGTATAAATATTTTATGCACATTTAGCTCTCACTATTATTTCAGGTTATTTGTAAAGAGAGGAAGTAAATTATTAATGAAGTTTTAATTTCCATGGGCTTCAAAAATAATATTCACATGAGTAATTAAGTTAAACACATGAAATTAGTAATGCCATTATATCATTTGTAAATTTTGAGCAAGAACATTGGAGACTAATGAACTTTACACTCTGCCATTGTATCCCTTAAGCTGGAAACACATTAAGGCACCACCAATGGAAGATGACAAAGGAGTCTTGAAATGTAATTCATGTAAATGTAAAAGTCAATCATTGAATCTCTTTTCTGAATATTCACCATTGAAAACACTTTTTGAAAGAGTTTTTTTTAGAGCCCTCTTATTCCTTGACAGAACTATTTGTTCAGAAAAATTAATGTGATGGTGCAGCATGAATTTATTCTCTTCCAGAAACAAGAAACAATTTAAGTATAAATGAATATTCTTTTCCAAGGCTTTCAAGATTGTTTGAGATAATTTGAAAATATTCTGCCCTGACATATGTTAAATTTCTATGCTCCCTTAATATAAAAAACTGTGTTAGTATTCAAGTGTGTAAATACATGTATGCACATGTACATCTTCATATGTGTACTCTAGTTTACATTATATGTTAGTCTAAACTCATTAATTTTGTTTTTGACAGAATTACAAGTATGTAAACCTGTATAAACCCACTTCCAATAAGTTCCTGGATTTTCATTAAAACATTTAATGGATTATTAAAAACTGGAGGCACCACTGGTCTAAAAGTACATACATATTACTTTTTTCCTTATAGTTCATTTATTTACATTTTTATTGTTCCTTATTCTTTGTTATTAGCCAGTTAACTAGAGTATCCATTTCTCTTTAGCTAATTTGTATAAGAAATTTCACGGGGGATTGTAGAAAGAGCATTGTAGAAAGAGCAGCTGAGGAACAATTTTCTTAAAGAGAGAGACCCTAGGTGAATGGTTAGTAGATCTCAACAAGTTCTGTTGGTGAAGGAGCCTTATGGGATTTTTCCTTTCCTTCATCACCTCCAAAGCCTTCTGTTAGCTGAACTCGGTGCTTTAAATATCCCAGTCATCAAGAGGCGATGGATTGGATGGCAAGATAAATAGGGATGGCAATCTTGAGATTGACTTTAGTTTAGATATTTTAATCTTATAATAATGTTTTTTAGTTCCAGTTGATTTGGACCTAAGAATATCACAGTTCTGTATCCAGGTGCTTGAGTTTTTATTGCAGTAAAATATTATTTTACAAATAAGCACCACTTGATTTAATGAAATGTAAACTAATATTTACACAAGAAGTTAAATTTAAAAATCAATGGTGACTTTTTAAAAAAATATTTTTGTTTATTCTATTACAGTTGTCGCACTTTTTTCCCCTTTTCTCCCCTCTATGCAGTCTGCCACCTGTTTCCAATAATCAGTCCCTTCATTGTTGTCCATGTCCATGGGTTCTTCATATATGTTATTTGACTAATCCCTTCACCTTCTTTCCATCTGTCCCCACCTTTCCCGACACCTCCTGTCAGTCTGTTCCATGATTCTATGCCTTTGGTTCTATTTTTCTCATTAGTTTATTTTGTTCATTAGATTCTTCTTGTATTTGTCTTTTACCAACTTGCCTATTTCACTTAGCCTAATAGTCTCCAGTTCCATCCATGCTGTCTCAAAAGGTAGAAATTCCTTTTCTTTCTGCTGTGTAGTATTCAATTGTGTAGATGTACCATAGCTTTTTTTAATAAAAAAAAAAAATGGAACGTGTCATGAATTTGTGTGTCAGCCTTGTGGAGTGGCCATGTTAACCTTTGTATCGTTCCAATTCTAGTACATGTGCTGCCCAAGCGAGCACTCAGTGGTGACCTTCAATGTATTTACAAAGATTATGCTGGGCAGAGGTGTAGAATTTCTTCCATCCTTTCAATAGGAAACACTGCAAAAGTGTTTATTGACTTACAGTCACATTACTCACATAAAGAATTGTCCATTTAAAAACTCTGTGCTTTTAATTCAATGGTTAAATCTCCCTTTATCTCTTTTCCCTGCAAATGGTCTTTGAAGCAGACTTGGGAAGTTTTGTTGATTAGGGATAGAATTCAATTTGGAGACAGTAGTTCAGAGAGGAGGTTGTGAGCAGTAGCCAACCTGCCAAATGACATACCCTGAGGGTAATCAATGGCTTTGGATCTTTGCAAAAACACGTGCACATACATATATAACAAGTGTTGGTGAAAACATGGAGAAAGGGGAACTATCATGCACTGCTGTTGGTGGGAATGCAGACTGGTGCAGCCACTGTGGAAAGCAGTGTGGAGTACTTCAAAAAATTAGAAAGGGAACTGTGTTATGACCCAGTGATTCCACTTCTGGGAATTTATCTGAAGAAACCTGAAACAGTAATTGGAAAGAATACATGCATCCTTATGTTCATTGCAGCATTATTTACGATATCTAAGATTTGGAAGCAGCTCAAGTATCCATCAGTAGATGAGTAGATAAAAGAGTTGTGGTACATTCACACAATGGAATACTACTTTGCTATAAAAAAGAAAGAAATTTACCCTGGTGAAATATGCCAGTCAGAGAAAGACAACTACCATATGATTTTACTCATATGGAATCTAATGAACAAAATGGGCTAACAAGCAAAATAGTGACAGACTCATAGAAAGGAGACTGACAGCTGTCAGGGACCAGAGGGGCTGGGTAGGCGGTGGAGGTATTGGGGGAAAAAAGAAAGAACTCATGGAAATGGACAACAGTGTGGTGATTGCTGGGGGGAAGGAGGCAGAGAGAATTGGTGGAGGGTGTTGTGGGGATAAATGGTGGTGGAGAGACTTGATGTGGGGTGGTGAACACAAAATACAGTGTACGGATGATGTGTTGTAGAATTGTGCACCTGAAATTTGTATAATTTTAATAATCAGTATCGTCCCAATAAATTTAATAAAAATAAATGAATGAAATAATTAATTAAAAAATAGGCTACTGAACAACTATTGGATCAAATAAAAAATAAAAAGAAAAATCAAAAGATGCATAGAAACAAATGAAAATACAATGTACCAAAATTTGGGGAAGGCAGTAAAAGAGGTAGTAAGAGGGAAGTTGATAGCAAAGAAAAAATGTAAAAATGAAGGAGGACCACAGAATGGTGGATGCTCCACTTGTATGTTGGAAATAAAGCCAATATCACAGGAGCTGTCAGTCTGATCTGGGAATATTCAGGAATGAGACTCTGGAACAAAAATGGGATTGAATGTTAAAAAATATTTTGTAGAGTCTTAAGGTCTTTTTCAATGCCAATTGTAAATTAAATAATATATTTTATATAAATCCATGTATTAAATATATATTAGGTAATACATTAAAATAAATATATAAATTATTTAATTTATTACCTTAGGAGGCTATTATTTCCAATCTTAAACTATTTAGATATTATCATCAGTAGACAGTATCCAGAATAGTCTAAATTTTGATGTTATAGATGTCTTTATATATCATTTGTTAAGATTTACACTTAGGTGTGTTGTACGGTATTTTGCTACCGAAATGAGATTTTCATTTTAGCGAACATATGTTCTAATTGTTACAGTCGTTTCATCAAAAGCTACTTTTTTTACATATTCATCTTGCTACCAACAACATTGTTGAAACATGTGAATTTTTCTCTAATAATCTCCTAATACAGATTGTATTTAATACTCTTCTAAATAAACTTATTTTTGTAACAATAATAGTTTCATTTTTCCTTCCAATCTCAAATATTTCATTATTTTTGTTGTACAGGACACTCTTTGTCATGTTTTTAAGTTGTTACTATTGGCCAGAGTGGTCACCTTTGGTTCCTGATTTTAACATAAATGCTTCTACTATTTTCCATTTAGTATGGCATTGACTGTAGATTTTTAATGAATACACTGACTGTCAGGAACTTTTCTAGTGTCTTCACATGCAACTTATCATAAATGTGTGAACATTTCCAAGTCATTTTCCCACTTCTTTTAAAGGTTTTATTATTATTTTCATGAGTTTTTTTCCTATTTAATATGTTAGTATGATGAATTGCATTAGCAGATATGAATGTAGTCCAGAATAAAAAGAGGTATTTTTGACTCACTGTGCAATATGTTAAGTCTCTTTCTGTGTGTGTGTGTGTGTGTGTGTGTGTGTGTGTGTGTGTATGTTGATGGAGTCACAGAAACCCAGCTTCCCTTTTTACATGACTACATCAATAGCCTTTCTTTTTTTCCGGATGGGGGAAAGAGCAATATTGGTTTGTTTCTCATTCAATCTCTCATTCTCCAACTTCTGCGCAGAGTCAGTAAGCTACTACAGAGACCACCTGTCCATAGGCTTTGTGTCAGTTTGAAGTGACATAGTAATTGAGAGGTGAGGAGGGCACTGTGTTCTTCTGAGGTGCTCGCTTACCCTATTCCCACTGGGCGCTGGGAGGACTTCTTCAAAATTAAAAATTAATAGTGTTTCCTAGTTGCATTGACTACAGGCTTTCCTCTTCCTTGTCTCTTCTGCAGGCTCTTTACTGCTTTCCTTTGTTTCAGAGAGAAGAGTGAACATTTCTTTACTTACAAAATTAATTGGAAGTTCTTAACATTTGTTGAAGATGTCACAGTTTTATGCTGGAGATAAGTAGGTTTAAAAAATTAACAGTCTAAGAGTAGTTTACAAAACAAATATTTTACATATTAAAAATTATATAACATGCTTATTAAATATTAAGTGATGAGGGAGGAAATATCCTTTTGGATATTTTTTACCCCAAGTTTTAAAGATAATTTGAAAAAACAATTAATAAACTGTTTTAAGATGGGATATGGTAAATGTTACATGAATAAATTTGGAATGATACATATTTTATGGCAGAAGATAAAAGTGAACTTATAGAATCAAAATTGTTTAGGTATTTTAAAAATATTTGAAATTGAGAATAAATATAATAAAATAGAATGTAACAGTAAATCCATAAGAGTTATAATAACCTACACTGTAAGTTGATTCTTATTTCTATACTAATCTAAGGAAATCTCACATACATATTTAAGAAAAAAGTCAATAATTTACCAATTTGCATTTAATTATATTGCTGAATTACTAATAATTGAGAATATAGTGCATTATTTTATTGATTTTTAGAAAAATAGGCTTAAATTACCATGTTTGGCTAAAAAACCATGAGTGAATGTTCAACCAAATATTATATCATTTAATTGATAGCTTTCGCTTTATTCTCTCCTATGTTACTTTAATACAAAATAACACTATAATTATTAACTCTTATTTTTACAATTGTCAAAATCATGGTTTATTTTATTTGCTTTCCTGGTAGATGGAGTAGAGCTTGATTTTGTAATGTCTAATGCTGTTTGCAGTGAAATAATTTGTTTTCAATGACCAAGTATCCATGGAAAAAGGACAGGTTATTTTTTTTTTAGAAAAAATAATGAAAACTCATTTAATGAAAATGAAAATTATGAGTGAAATGAAAATTATGGTGACTTCTAAAACATTTTTTGTATCCGAAGATAAAGTAGCAACTCAAGGTTACCTATTTAAAATAATTTTAAATTCTTGCATATATTTTAAATATTTTGAGGGAAGGGGGAAATAAATTTAAATTTTATGTAAGTTGTAATATATTTACTTATATTGCATTACTGTTTGAAATAATTTAGCCTCGACTTGAGAACTGAACATTAAAGTGCAGTTGAAGCCCTTCTCTCTTGCCACAGATAACCAGTTCTTATATTTGGTGTTACTCTTTCATATAAACAGTATGTTTATTTTTGCATATTTTAAAGCTTTACGATTTGTTTCTGTATTCTATCTTTTATTATTCTCAAATTATATTCAGTGTTGTGAGTGTATGTGACTGAAATATAGTAATTTTCACTGTATATTATTATTTTGCAAGAATATATCACAATTTATTACCTAATTGCCTGCTGAAGAGCACTAATATTGTTTCTGATATTTTTTTAAAGGAAACCAATATTACTCTCAGCATTTGTATACATCCTTTGTTCACATGATTAAACGATTCTATCAGATATACCCATGTCTGGAATTTCTGAGTTTTGGTTTTTTCAGATATCTAAATATTGCCAAAATGGTTCTCAAACATCATATACCAATTAATACTTCCAACAGTACAAATAACCTGATTGCCTATATCCTCACTACCACATGGTATTTTCAGACTAAATTTTTACTAATTTGTTTAGCATTAAATTGTAATTAACATTAAATTAATTGTTCTCTAAGTTTATTTTGGTGGCCTTTGGTTACTAAGGGGTGGAACAACTTTTCAAATGTTTGCTGGCTATTTGGATATCCTCTCCTAGGACATGCCTGAATATTTTGTCTTTTGGCTTTTCTTTTAGATTGGTCAGTTGTTTTTTCATGAATTCTTTATTATTTTGAAAAGTAAATTATTTGTTGAAGTAAATATTATGAATATTTTAGTCTGAAGGTTTCATTTCTCATTTTTAGAACTGTCTTTGAGACAAAATGTTTTTAATTTTACTGTTACTGTTCATGCTTTGCTTGTGTGTTCTTTAAAACAATTATTTCCCAAGGCCATAAAAATATTCTTCATGTTTTTCTAATTTATTTAGAAGTTTGTCTATAGTTACAAATCAGTTTGTGCTTTACTGACATCTTAACAAATGTTAATACCCAATCTTTGCATATGGCAATATTGCAATTCATTCAGTTCTTTTAAAAAACCATGAACATTAACAAGACAACAAACTCACAGCTATCAACAACTGAATCTAAAAAGAATAAACAAAACAAAACAGACTAAGCAACAACCAGAACAGGAACAGA